GCCATGTGTGCGCAATTACGCATACAGACCATTTGCACCTTCTTTTGAAACGTGTTAAATATAGAGTCAGATACCGTTAGCAAAATTGCGTTCAGGTTTGATAAATCACTTTGCGAGTGCTAAATTAATATATTTACATGTTCTCCTCCCACAAGACGCACTTTAGCGTGTAAACGCCCCATATTGCATATTCATTGCAGAAAAAGTACTAAATAGATAAGAGGCGCTATTTAGCACGTTTTAAAGACCAAATCCTTTTAGCACGCTGTTGATAGATCAGTTTTTACATTTTTTAGCGTGCGCAGTGAAATAGCTCACGTTTTAATACACGCAAACCTTTGATAGATCCGGCCCTGAGTGTTTTAAAAAAAGGCCTTAAACCATTTCTTTTTAGCAAAACTTTTGGTCCCTCTTAGATGTTTCTTTTTTCTCTTTTAAAACAGCTTTTATTATTTTATTTTATTTCATTTATTTCTACGTATTTCTTTTTTTAATGCTTTTTTAAATGCTTTTTTGTAGCACTTTGAGGCCTTTTTGGTGAAAAGTGCAGTATAAATTAAATGAATTATTATTATTATTGGAGCTGTATTGTCTTCCTGTTCATGCATACTTTCTTGGATGTCAAATTAATACACATATAAAGAGAATTGTCTATGAAGTGTGTCTGTGCATGTTTTTTTAATGACCTTTTCATCTATGGCTTACGCTGTAATAGTCTTCATGCATTTTCCCCTTGACAGAATTTTCATACAGCCATGCCTCAAAGTCATCACTTTGCATTCCCAAAGTTCTTTCATACAGTGCATTTATAGTTTTAAGAAGCATTTAAGTAAAATTCATAGAATTCAGCATTTGACTGCAGCTTGATTAAGATGAAATCATCCTGCATTGGCTTAAAACAAACAGTAGAGATTCCTAGTGCACTTTTTTAAAGAAGTAAGAGTGTTTCCTTTGCATTGTGCACTTATGCATGATTATCCCTAGACGATGAGGAACTGTCACCTTGCATTAAGCGTTTAGCAAAAGATGTGCAGTGGTTTTCTGTAGCAGGAGGACAAACAGACTTATCTCCACTGGTAGCCAATAGTTTGATTATAGCAAGTGAGTGCTTAGAATAGAAAGGTATTGGCCACAAGCAGAAGCAAAAATAAGGGTTAATCCCAGCGGATTACTCCATCTTAGTGCCATTCTTACCCACTCAGAGCACCTTACTGCAGCACAATGAATGGGATGAGGAGGGTTACTGGGGTAAAGACTGATGAGAGAGAGGAGTGACAGGTGATATAAAGAGTGTGTAAGAGTGGGAACACACTACGGCAGCTAGAAAACACAGTGATAGGCTTATTTGAATTATGCAGCTATTGTTGTGTAATAAAAGGATCAATGAGGCGATAAAGTAATGTAAATAGTCAGATCATTTATTAATCAAAAATTTTCAGTATTGTTAATCTGTATTAATCTATTAAATTATTGGATTTTGTTTGGCAGCTGAACTTTAAAAAAAAATCATCAATTCAAAAATCATTTCAATTAAAAAGAAAAACTGTTAAGAGCAAAGCGTTGTATGCTGCTTAGGCCACACCAGCTTTGTTAAATTATTATTCTCTGTTCATTATCAAACCAGAAAGACAGCTAATTTATTAATGCAATTCTTTCTTCCGTGTCTTTGTGCAGTGTCTGACTTCTCATTTTAATGTTTAAATGTTTTAGTCACAAGCCACCATGGGAAAGCACATGAATCCATGATGTCCGTGCAAACAGATAATGAGGGCGTAACATTTTTTTTTCCCACCATAAACACAAAAAACAGATGTTATTACATCAGCTTTTAACCATGACTGTGAACATCCTTTTTAAACTATGAAGGTTTTCATTAATACAAGCACATCGCAGGTAATTAAGAGTAAGTGTATTTCATTTAATTTAATACTTTAAGCTTAACTTCTGTAGCGATATAGTTTAGGAAAATTATTTCTGGTTATTTGGATGATTAATCCTAACAGCTTATGAAAACCCCAAATTTTGGTTCTGGAAATCTAAAATATTACGTAAGACTAACAAAAAGGGAGTTTTAACTCAAAGCAGCTTTAAGTACTTATAGTAGTGTGTAAGTAGGTGCAAAGTCCTGCAAGAATGCAATATAAACCTGTCGAAAGAACTTTTCAGCAGAGGGAAGCAAAAGTTGCTCAGAAATATACTTGGACTTGATGAAAACCAAGCAGCAGCAGATAAAATGGCTCCATAAATCAAAATCTTACTCTGAACCTCAAACAATTTGAATTTATGGCCTCTTTTCTTATTGAAAAAAATTTATGTACAAAAAATGAAAACTTTTCTTTCATCTGAAAAGAGGACCTTTTGACCCACGTAGAAAAAAAACTGACCTTTTCCTCACTGGAGCAAGTAAGGCATTTGTAGAATAGTTTTTGCTTTAGTAAGCACCAGCTCCACAGCAGCCCACACCTTGTGAATCCTCCACAACATTTTAGATGAGCTTTGCTTTACAGTCCCCTCTATGTTACTAAACCACCTTCCACCATCCATACAAAACAGAGATCCTACACGTCTGAAACAGAAGTGTTCCACGTGCCATCCTTGTTGGCTGCGCCACCATATTCACGATGACTTTGGACAAACACATAGAAATCACAGTGATACTCTTGACCAGTAAGCAAGAAAATGGTACATCCATCACTGCTATTGGGATTGCCCCTATAAGGTAGAAAACAGACAATGTTGCGATCAAACTTATCTTTTATAACCATCTTTTCATCCAAACATGAACAAATTTTGAGCAAAGTTTTAGAAAGACAGAAAAAAACGAAATGCAAATTAAGTGTGTTTCCATATATTGGAGCGAATTAACAAGGCCATGCAAAGCTTAATGTCATCATATGCTAACGTTTAACTTAGCTGTAGTAAACAGGAAGCAGAGTTGGCAAGCTACCATGGAAAATCAGTGATGGACCAAGGTTTTAATAAATGGGTTGTCCTTAGGTAAGTTTTATTTACTTTCTCGTGTCAACTAGTCTGATCGACGGTTCTTGCCATCAGGAGACATGGAGAGAGAAAAGTGATTCTCATGGAGAATTCAGGTGGTGGGAACAGCTGGTCAGTCATGTCAGGTAAAGATTCGCCAAGGCAGAAATTAATTGTCTCCATCTCCTCTTTAGTGCATTTACTTTTTTATTTATTTATGTAAGTGGCTTCGGATGCAGGAGTTTGTCCTTCATCTGGAGGGTTGTTGGTTCAAGCCCTGGCTCTGGTTTTCACTATTGTTGTGTCCTTGGGCAAGTAACTTCACCCGCATTGTCTACTGATGGTGGTCAGAGGCACTGGTGGCACCAGTGTATGGCAGCTTTGCTTCTATCAGTGAGCCCCAGGGCAGCTTTGGCTACAATGTAGTTTGCCACCATCAGTGTGCGCGTGAATGGGTGAATGACTGAATGTAGTGTAAAATGTAGTGGCAGGTTGTGCAGCTTGATGTCATCCATGTAGAGGGGATGTCATTCGGACTAGAGAACTGTGGTCGGATGGTGACTAAGAGAGGGAAGGTAGTCCACACAGAGGGGGTCTCACTCCCAGAAGGAACAATAGCAGACAATGAGGATAGTTAAAAGTACCTCGGAATCCCACAAGCAAATGGTAACCTCAAAGAGGTGACAAGGAAAGCGTCTATGGCCAAATACCTCCAACAAGTAAGGCAGGTCCTAAGGAGCCAGCTCATAAGTCTTGGGCAATAAATGGCTATGATCTACCAGTAATCAGATACCCTGCAGGAATAATAAGCTTGGAAAAAGATTATATATAGGACACAGATGAAGGAGGAAATCTCCTAACCATGCAAGGAGGGCTCTACCCCAAATCCAGCACCATGAGACTACGCTAGTCGAAAGGAACGAGGCCGAGGACTAGTGAGCATGAGAGCCACTATCCAGGATGAAACATCCAAGATCCATAAGTACATCAAGAACAAGGCTCCAACAGACTGTGCTCGGTGAATGTCTCAGACAATGGGTAACAGAGGGTGCCAGAGGTTCTGTCATATATATATAGTTTATCGGAATACCCATACATACAGTTAAACACCCTTTTTTACAGAAATATAAGTGATCACAGTAGATTCTTGATGTTTTTCAAGGGTGCCTCAAGGCTTCACTTACATTCATCTCTTAAACTTTCCATTTGTGGTCATTCCTATTTAATGTTTTCAGAATGTAGTGAAAACTGAGCTTTGCCAAACCATCTGGATGGTTGGCACTTCCTTTCACCCAATAGGATGTAACCAAATAACTTTAAAAGAATTATATTACACTAGTGACGTTAAGATCTTTTTTTTTTTAAGTTCTGATCCAATATCAACATTAGATTGGGGGAGGTGATGGCCTAGTGGGTTTCAGCAGTGCCCATGTGCCCATGAGCAGTGCAGTAAGCAGTTTGATCCCCACAGCCTCCACTTTGGATTCTTGAGCAATAAGACCCTTAACCCTACACTGCTCCCCATATATATATATATATATATATATATATATATATATATATATATATATATATATATATATATATATATATATATATATATATATATATATATATATATATATATATATATATATATATATATATATATATATATAGTAAAATACACTAAGTTGTTTCTAAAGCGATTCTGCAAACTAACATGGCGATTAGTGAGAGTGAATCCAGATATGACATCACATGGGACATTTTTTTTTCATTAGCTGTAAGGAACATTATTGAAGAAGAAAAAATCTATATAATAATAATTTTATAACATTAATTATAACATTAATTTCAGTATTTGAACTGAGCAACTGGCATAAACGATTGTTGTGATTGTATTCTAATTGACTGAGATGCACCTGTATGGATTGGTGCAGCTGTCAACATGTCCTTCAAGACTTACACTTCCTCTTGGTATTAGCAGGGTGCACAGAGGCCCAGGGGTTTGTCTATGACTAGGGCCGGCCCTGGCTTACCTTTTTTCCTGGGGGTGTCTGCAGGTAGAAAGTCTGGCTCCTCATATTCCATTACGCTCCTGTAAGCCGCTGGATGGACCTACACTCTCTCACACTCACCTCTCACCCACACAGCCACGGGCAAACATCAGAGGTCAGCCAAAGCGATCCTGTCTTTAAAAGCAAAGATGACAGAAAGCATGCTACCTGTTGTTTGCTCTAGCGCCCGGGTCGGCGCAGACATTTAAAAACATGTACCGCCATCTCTCTTCTTTCTGTCCTCATAAGTCCAGAAACCCAAACATAATTCTCCTCCTGTCTCCTTTTCTTTCTTACAGAGCAACCCCTCCTCCTATGTTTTAAAATAATTGCTCTCACCCTGTGGCGGCAGCAGTGCAGGGTGCAGCTGGACCGGACCAGCCCCTCTGCTCTCACCCCCTCCCTGCTGTCCCAGGCCGGGCTGGAGGGAGTTATGTCACCGACTGTTACGTAACGCCAGCGGATCGGGTTTGCTTTGAGGTGCTCGGCTGAGAAATATAATCCCATGTTGCTGCCAACTCAACAGAGAAACTAAAAAACCCGGAGGACTGGCGGTCCATTGCCTGTGGATTGAAATCTGCATGCAAAAAAAAAAACATATTCCTTTAAAAATGCACTTTTCTTTGGGTTTGTTTTGCAGGAATCAGCTATCATAAACCAGAGCTGGGCCTTTGCAGAGATTACCTTTATGATCTGTATCTAAATCCTGCTTTATTACAACAGACCAGAAAGACAAAGAAAACGATGAATAATCAATATGTGTTCTCTGTTTACATGATCAAATGTTTCTGTAGGACATTGTGCTTCAATGGGCAGACTAATGCTGGGAGCAGCTCTAGGCTTAGGCTCGATCTGAATCCAATCTGAAAAACTTGTATTGATACATATACTTTGTCTTTGGCGCTCAGACCTCGGCAGGAAACATAGCGCTTAATTTTGATTGATATGCAACTATGACTGAAACTGATGGTGGAGTGGAGATAGATGAAGTTGGTCAGTCCGTAGACTGCTGGTTAGCAGACGGTATGCTGAGCTTTATGGGAAGATCCAATGGGGTGATACTAGAGCTTCACTCAGGGACCTGTAAGATGAAAATCCAGTTGGATAACACAAGTTGAGAGAACCTGTCCATGATAGGCAAGCATGGAGCGACAGTAGAGAGGAAAAACTTCCCATTGGGAAGAAACCTCTGGCAGAACAAGGCTCAACATGGCGGTCTTCTGCCAGATGAAACAGGGAACGCAGTAAGAGCCAGGGAGGAATGACACTCTTATGAAGCTTTAGCTACGATGGTGGAGGAGGGACTGGAGGTGGGTTGAAGCACATCCACCACCTGCACACAGAAGCACACAAGTGCATCGGAGGCCTTTTAAGATGAACTTTGGATGTAGGAGAGCAATGAGTTTCTTCAGTTGAACGTCCACCTAGGCTCCATTATCAGGAAAGGTTGACTCTGAGTTAGTTCAACTTTACTTAATGACGCAAAACTTCCTCAGATACAGGCTTATTCCTCCTTACCACTCCTTGGTAAAAAGCTTTAGGGTTTATTGTAGGCATCGCCAAAGTCGGTCCTCGAGGGCCGCTGTCCTGCAGGTTTTAGAGGTTTCCCTACTCCAGCACAGCTGATTTACAATGATAGTTGATTAACAGGCTTTTGCTTTTGATGAACTGCAATAATCAGAATCAGCTGTGCTAAAGCAGAGAAACCTCTAAAACCTGCAGGAAAGCAGCCTTTGAGGACCAACTTTGGGTATGCCTGGTTTATTGTGTCAGTTAAACCTACAGAAGTAGATACCTATCTTTTAATCTTAACTCAACGGGGAAATAAAGACAAACCTTTAGCCCTGGTTATGTAAAAGAGAACAGGCAAAACTGTCAAGAGTGTCCAATGTGTTATTAAAGTATGAAATGTAATTGTACAACGGCTTTGATCTGGACATATATGGAAAAAATAAGAATGGCATATGCACACAATTTATAATTCTATATTTCATTTCCAAACATAATTTTTTGTGTGATTTCCACTACCTTTGAACAAAAAGAAAACCCCTCATATCAGCTGTTTCAAGCTGAGTCTTGAAAAAAGTATAAAATGCAAGTAAGGAAAAGGGAATCGTTAATTTACATTTTTTTTTTAAATCAATTATCATATTAGTAAAAAAAAAAAAAAAAAAAAAGATTTTAGGGAATTTGGTTGATCCAATTCAATCAATCATTCTTTCTCCCAAAAATGTTGGTCACTGTTTAACAGTGAACTAAAATTGTGCTTTAAGTTTATTCAGAATTTTTCCACTTTTAAAGTATGAGACAAAACTGAAGTAAACTATCCAAATCTTGTAAGGGTTTTATCGTTACTATTTTCTATTATTAGAAAATCTGTTAATGAAAGAATTAAATAAATAAATAGGATGCAGCTTCAGACTTTTCTCTGTTGCAGTCAGTAAAACGCATGGGCGTAGGTTTGCATAGGGACCATAGGGACATGTCCCTACCAAAATTTTGAACCGACCTAATTGTCCCTACCAATAATTGGATGTGAGCAACATGTTTATAATTTACAGCAGTAGTTGTTGCAGCAGTGGCTTCTTTTCCTCTCGCAGCTCCTCTGCCTGGTCTCTCCTGTCCCTTTCATGTAGCAGCGCATGGAACTGTGCTGCGCTGTTTAACTCAACTCTCATTGGTTGTTATGCCTTAGGTTCCGCCTTCTCTCTCTCTGATTGGCTGTTTTCTAGTCCGCGTGTGCTTGGAGCACAACATTGAAAATGTATTCACAATAGAATGCAGCGGTTACTACAATTAATATTAGGCTACAAAACTAGTCCCAATAAAAAAAAAAAATGAATATCATGTTCACTAAAAAACAAAAACCTTTTTTTTTCTTTTATAAAACGAATTATTCTGAGTCAGCCAGGAGTTCTGAAGACTGCTGGAAAAATGGGCAAATAAAGGCTGTAAGCTATGAACATTTCTGATTCTTAGCCACAGCCAACTAAAAAAGAAAATGTGAGGATTTCCTTTTTACCGATATTAAGTTGATATTACTGTTTTCATTTTTTTGTTTTTATTTTTACAATTTTGATATAATAACTGATCTAAGTGGGTTGCTCTGTGGGGAAAGGCACATTTTACATTTATATTACTGTATGTTTTAAAGTCTCTATACTCCAGGTAATGATGAATCACGTACTAAATTAGTTGACGATTATTAAAATAATCAATTAATATGATTCATTTTTTTCAGCCCCAGATGAAATACATGAAATGGACGACACAGAGTAACTACAGCCCAGATGTTCCACTTTTATAGTGAAGTTAATATTTTAATGAATGTATTATTTTGCTTGATACAGAGAGAGAATAGTAGGTAAAAATATAAGAGTGGGGTTTAACTCTGCACAATTCTATATCTTCAAAAGAAAATACTGTATTTACCTTCTCTCTTAGTCGTTCAAATGAAACCGTTTTCAAAGTGGAAAACAGTCCTAATTCCACATTCATCAGAGCCGGTGATACTTCAAACATTGATAAACAGCATCTAATGAGTGTAGAGCTTATAACATTTTTATTAATGGAGCAAAATGTTACTTTTCTCTTTTAACAATGAATTCCTCTTATCAGTACGGATGCTCACATCGAGCATAAAAAAGGGCATGCATATTGCATAGCACCAATGACACCAGAACAATAGTGTCCCTACCAAAGTTCAAATCAAACCTACGCCCTTGGTAAAACGAAGCTTGCAGCTTTACTTTAGATCAGTAATGGCCCCTTATTGAAAGCCAACTTGATTGATGTAAAAACTGGCAGTGCCGAGGGATTGTGAAATGGAGCTCCCCCACATTAAAAGGCTGATGGGCCTGAAGAGCTGCAGTGGACAGAGCAAGCTGCAGGTGGTTTAACTGAAAGTGGAAAACAGCCGCTTCCTTTAAACCCAACTTGACCACATGAGACTGGAAAGGGGAAAAAAAGAGAAGCTTGTGTTTATTTGTTCTGCACTTTCATGCATTAGAAAGACTTTAAAAACTAGGTAGCATTTCCATCTGAATGCATGCTTCAGCGAGGTTAAAGATGTGAGGGGCCCTAAAAGACCTAGCAGACCCGCGCTGCTATGAACATATATACACAGAAACCACACAGGAGACCAACATGTGGAAGAACTGACGTTAAATAGAGTGTAGAAGCTGCTGCATTTGCAAACATTATGTGTTGAAGTAAAATCAGACTGTTTTTTTTGTGTGTTTTTTTTTTACATTAGCAACTCTTATAAAATAAAAAAAATATAGATAAGTATTATTACATTTTACAGACAAAGTCACTCAAAAAAAATGTTCCAAATTATAGTGAGATTTCAATCATTGACTCAAAGGTGTCTATTTTAGGTTGGAATGAATGAACTACCTAATTGATAAAAAAAAAAAACTGCTGCATGAATGAGAGTGAATTTGCCATGAACCTCTAATCTTAAAAGTGTTAACATTATACATTTAGGCTTAGATATATACATAAACACAGGCTCTGGCTGAATAATTTACATTTCATTACAGCTCTACAGTGCCCAAGTATCGTACATTGTTCAGGTAATTATAAAGACTTATTTAGAAAACCTTAAAAACTTGGTCAGTACAAAGATATCAGCTCCCAAAGGATAAAGAAGACTGCTGAAGGTCCATTCTTAGTATCATTGCTAGGTTATTTTAATTTTCTTGTAATGTTACAAGTAGTGGTGAATGAGGTGTTGCCTTTGAACAAATTTGCATGTTTTCCTTTATTTAACTGTGATGTTGTGAATCACCAGCATTCATTATAAGGATATTACCATCTGGACTTCTTTGAATTGATTATCAGCAAACAAATCTCATAGTGAATATCTAAGGCAAGCAAAAAAAAAAAGGCTCTATTTGTCATTTATCTGAAGGTGAAGTCATTTTTTAGCCCCAAGTGAACTAAAACAGTTTTTTTTCTGGTTTAATTACTGGTTCATGTGCCATTTTATCCAGAGTAAATATATATATGGTTTAAGCTAAACATATTTTGCCCTGAATGTTCGATTTTCAAAAGCCCTTTTTAATGGGCCATCGTCCCCGTATGTAAAAATAACAGCTGAACTACAACATTAAAAGCTACTAATAAACATGTTAAAGCTTTACATTTGATGACTGCATGTGAATCTGACTGGATCTGGATTGCAGAAAAAATAAGAATAAAGGGACAAAGTTTTGCTAATAGGACCATAAGGAAAAAAAAAAAACTCACAACAAAATACATTTTGTAGCTCCATGTAATTAATTTAATTCCTCTTAAATCAAATAACAATTCAGTTTATAAAAAAAAAAAAATCATCCATTAAACCCATATTTGCAAATATGGAACTTATTTTTGTTCAGGTTACATCAACAACAGGTAGATATG